GAGAGATGCCAAGGCAGTCAGCGAAGGGACCAGCTTCTCTGAGGCTGAGTCAAGAGTGTGGTAGAAATTCCAGCTTGTTTTGTTTCCTGTGAGATCAGCCCTTTCATCCATCTGTGATCTGCACCCTGCCTGGTTTCCTCTCTCGAATCTGTTGGAAAGCACAGAGGAAGTGACTGAGGGGTGTGTGCAGATCCAGGGTCAGTTGAGGTGTGGGCTGTGGGGTGGGGGTGGGGTTGGTATGGATCCTGCTCTGAACATCCCAGGAGGAGGGAATGGCCATGAAGGAGGCTCCTTCCCAAGGACTGGGTGGGGAGGAAGCATAATCAAGCACCAAGCCTCCCAGAAGCAGTGTGGCCCTCACCTCTCTTTGCATGGCTCCTACAGGTAGGGCTGTCAGATAAAGTACAGGACTCCCATTTCAATTTGAATTTCACCTAATCATAATTTCTTAAGTTGTGTATGTCCCAATATTGCATGCATCCTGTGTTCTCATTTGCTGTAGCTGACAATCCTACCAGGATGACCACATCGCCCCCTCACTGGCCTCCCAATTATCTCCTGGCCCCACATGGTGGCCAAAGAGGCCCTGTTAAAACCCAGTTGTTTCACATCCCTCCTCAGTGCTTTGCTTCAAAACCCTCCAGCCATTCTGAGGCCCTGGGTCACCTGGGCCTGGTGAGCTATCTAAACCCACCTCCTACTCCCACTGGTCTGCTGGTAAAGTGGATCTCAGAAAAAAACAAAACATACACACACACACACACACACACAGCCCTGAGTTTAGCATTTGCTGATGTTCGTGGTGTAAATATTCCCTCCATGGTTGACTTCAAGCCACCAACAAGACATCACTGAAGGCAGAGTTATACTCAGTGCAAGCCAGTGTAAGCAGGCTCCAGTCTGCCTCTCTTCCTCAAGTATATTCTACCTCAGGACCTTTGCACTTACTGTGCTCTTTGCCTGGAAGTGCTCACCCCAGATCTTTGTATGATTCACCCCTTTGTTAGATAGGACAAGAGTCACAAGGTCTGGGCCATTCTTACTAAGTGCTGTTCTTGCTGAATGTTAAAATGTAGCACAGTATTTTCCAGACCAGCTGTAAACAAGATGAGTTTGACAGGAACCCAACCCAATAAGTGTAGAGAAGTAAAATCAACGTGGTGTTGACCAAATAGTGTGTATAAGCAATGGCTACGCCTCCCTTCCCGCAGGCAGAGCTTTGGATGTGAGCCCTGTCTCCTTTACTTGCTGCAAGTAAATAAAACTATCTTGTGACAACCATGTCTCATTTTTGAATACAGCACCCCAAGTTGTGAACCCCTTGAGTTTGGTAACAAATTTGGTGGCACCAGATAGGACTCTTAAAAAGCTCCCTCTCGCCCTAGCCAGTTTTGCTCAGTGGTTAGAGCATCACCCCACAGACTGAAGGGTCCCAGGTTCGATTCCAGCCAAGGGCAATACTTCAGTTGCAGGCTCCACCCTCAGCCCCGGTTGGGGTGCGTGCGGGAGGCAACCCATCGATGTGTCTCTCTCACATTGATGTTTCTCTCTCTGTCTCTCCCTTCCACTCTGAAAAGCAATGGAAAAAATATCCTCCAGTGAGGATTTAAAAATTAACTAATTAATTAAAAGCTCCCTCTCGGCCCACTGTGGACGCTCGGCGAAGCAGTGGGCAGTGGCAGCTCGCCCAGGGCAGCTCGCCCGCGTCCCCTGGAGGGATGGTGTGTGTGCTCCGTGCTGACACTAGAATGGCTGGCTGGCTGCCTCGACAGTGAGGCGCCCGACCCTGTTTCGTTCAGCACTTCAGGAGGGAGGCAGGTAGGTCCGTCCCTGTGGTCCCTGGAATTAGTGTTTCTGCTCCCGTTTGGGGTAGATGGTTGTGGGAGAGGTGGTTTTGATTCTGGTGTGCACTTGGTTTCTGGTTGGTGGGGCAGGGACTGTCTCTGGGAGGCAGGACTTGGGGCCCGACCTAGGTCTGAGCCTGGAAGGATGAGGAACGCCTGCGAGCAATCCAGGACGTCCTCAGTGACCATCTCTGGCCTGGTGTCTGTCCTGCAGGAGTTGGATTTGTTCTTTGGGTGGACGTTTGTGTTTGCCTTGTCGGTCTTATATGTAAATGGTGCCAGCTACGAGAAACTCAAATTCGATCCCTGAATGCAGCCCCCTGGGGTGCATTCTTCAGAACTGGGTAAAAAGAGTTCTGTTTCCTTAAAGACCTTAGGTGCTTATATAAGTTAAGGACTATAACAAACGGGCTGATGGTAGGGAGCTGCCTGTCCTGCCCAGGCGGCCCTGCTCCAGGCTGGGAGTCCCCTGCGGGTTTGGAGGAGCTGTTTTCTCAGTGCGGCTTCTTTGCCTCCTCGGGTTTCAGCATTTACTAACCACACAGAAGTCTCTCTGCTTGGTTGGAGCTGCACAGCTCCCGTTGGATGGGGAGAGCCTCAGCCCTGTTGGCTGAAAGAGGATTCCAGGGCTCTTTTGTAAGGGCTGGCTCAGGTGCCAGGAACACAGTGCAGGCAGGCAGCTCAGTGCAGGCCTCTCTCTGAAGTGCAGTTTGCAAGAGAAGCTCTTGTGTAGACATGATTGCTAGCCGCTCCCCGTTTTTACTTGAGTCCAGTTAGCCGCCAGGAGCCCTTCCTAGTAGGCACCTTCTTTCTCAGTGCCTACAACACACACACACAGCTTGTATGCCCGGGAGTGCCTCCTGCCATCACAGGGGCTTTTCTGGGGCGCGCTGTCCTGAGAGCAGATGCAAAGGGCCGAGTGGGGCCTGTCTCGCCTGCTGTCCTCCCTCCCAGGCCAAGGTGCCATAGGAGGTGCGCTCTTCACTGGGCCACATGGCAGGCATCGTGTGCTTGAGGAACGGGGGACGCCGCTGGATGCCGTGTATAACTGTCACAGCTGGTACCGCGCCCTGGCTGCTGTGTCCCGCTCACTGGGCTCCCGTCTGCACGGTCACTCCCTGCCCAGACCTACCTGTCCTCCTAAGCCCTGGACAGACCAGCAGCCCGACGTGCGGTTCCTGAGTGAAAACCGTGCTCCGTGTCCGGATCATATGCGGAGAGGTTCAAACGTGACAGCACCTTCCCCGTCTCGCGCTGTCGGCACCTTTGTCCCCAGGGGGGCTGTCGCTCCGGCCGCCTTGCTCGTTAGACCCCGCAGAGGAGCTTGTGAGTGGCGGTCTCGGTCTCCTCGGCCGCGCCCCGCTCTGCCTCCCCTCTTGCGGGCGTGTCTCCTGCGGGGCGGCGCTCTCTCCACGCTCGCGTCTCGGGCGCCAGAGCCCAGGCGGCGGGGACTCCGACCTCGGACCCGGGCCGCTCCGGCCAAGTCCGCAGGGAGCAGTTACAGAAGCGGCCCCGGACGCCGCGCCCT